ACCTATTAATAAGAGATAAGATTTTAGCCGTTCGAAAGAAGCTGTGTCACTGCATAGTTCTAGGTATGATACAATAATGTTGGTTTACGACCAAAATACTAATCAGTGGCTTACAGAAAAAAACTATTGATCGCTCTATGAAGATGATACAGAACACTAATTCTCAAAAATACGCTGATTATGTGTGGCACTGATCCACGTTCAAATGCGAAATTGTTATTGTGATCAGTCTAACAGTTATAAATACAGCACCAGGTAGACTGTAGATTGCGAGCAAGAAAATCTAGCACATTTCTTAAAAGTAAACCTCTGCTTCATCTGCATAAAACTATTCGTATTTTCTGAAGCCCTCTGAGTGACCATTGAGTCATTGACTGACATTATTGAGTCATGCATAGAACCGTGCAAATATACGCCCTCTTTCGGATGATCACAGGTACTAGCTTTTATTTTATTCCTATCAAAATTTATTTCCAAACAAAGACTGTGCAGTGACTTTTTGGACCATCCTGTATATAAACAAAGTATTAAATTAAAAATGCGTTACTCACGAAAGAAGGTTTAAGAAGATGAGTCTTTTTTTTTCATATCTCATCGAAGTCAATTGATAATTGAAAAATTGATTAAAAACTATCTTTGTTTATTATTAATTTTAATTTACAGATTTTTTCTTGGTGCATTCGGTTTTCTTGTTGCAACTGGTATTACCGATAAAGATATCATGTATGATACTCTTCCACTTTATCATTCCTTAGGTATATTCTATTTTTAAAATGTGTTTTTGATAAAATTTCTATTGTTTTTTTTTTTAATTAGGTGGCTGGGTTTGCATTACTCACAGGTATATATTTAAATAAATAATTACTTAGACAAAACAAATAATAATTAAATTAAATTAAATTTTAATTTTGTTTTAGTCTCATAGGAGGTTGTACAACAGTATTACGTAAAAAATTCTCAGCGTCAAATTTTTGGAAAGATTGTGTCAGATATAAATGCACAGTAAATAAAAATAAAAAAAGAAATTTTTGTAAAAAGAAACTGTTTATATTTTTAAACAAGGGTTTTACATATGTTGGTGAATTATGTCGATTTTTACTGGCTCAACCACCAAGTGAATATGATAGAAAACATTCAATACGTTTATGTTGTGGTAATGGACTTCGACAAAATTTATGGATACCATTTGTTGAACGATTTAATATACCACAAGTTTATGAATTTTATGCAGCTACGGAAAGCAATGCTTATTTCTGTAATACCAAAGAACAAAAAAACTTTTGTTTTGTAATGTTTTAATCATTTTTATATTTTAGTTAATATTGATTCATATCCAGGTGCTTGTGGATTTTATTCATTAATTGCTCCGCGTGCACTTGGAAGTGTACTTGTACGATTTGATCCTGTAACATTAGAACCAGTACGTGATGAAAAAACAAAATTATGTGTACGATGTAAAGCAGGTGAACGCGGATTATTATTAGGAATGATTGAAAATAATATATTACACGCATTTGATGGTTACGTTAATAATCCAACAGGAACAAAACGAAAAGTTATTGAAGATATTTATAAACGAGGTGATCGTGCTTTTAATACAGGTAAAATCATTATTATCAATTGAAAAATATTTAAAGCTGGCTTAATTTTTCCTTTTGTTATATAGGCGATGTTATGGTAGCAGATAAATATGGTTATTTATTTTTTTGTGATCGTACAGGTGATACATTTCGTTGGAAAGGTGAAAATGTATCAACAGTTGAAGTTGAAAATATTCTTATGAATATTCTTAAACGAAATGATGTTGTTGTTTTTGGAGTTGCAGTACCAGGTACGAAATCTATTTTTTATTGAATTCATAGAGCTCTTGTAAAACTTTAAGTTTTCTCATAATCGATCATTAAAAATAATAGAACACTTGATACATAAGTTTTTAAGAGTACTTTCTCCTGCTCTCCGTTGTTTCTCGAAAATGGCTCATGAGATAAATTTAAAATTTTCAGAGCAGATAGATCTGGACGAATAGAGCAAAAGTAATCATTCCGGATGTTCTATCTTTTATGAAACACTAAAATCATAATGAAAAATTCTCATTAGATTGTATCATCTTTGGAGATATAATAGAAATTCAATGATTTATATGAAAAACATATGGGTGATTTTATTAGTTAGCGACCTGACACTAAAAAAAGACACCTGCTTGCACTGTGTGCTGGTCCACGTATAAAGCGGATCACGAGATTATAACAAAACATAAAATCTCATTTTGTGATAAAAGTAGATTTATGAAAAAAACGGTTCTTGGTAAGCAATTTTCTAGAGTTCGATCTTGCTAAATATTTTATCATTGATGTAGTCTACAGTATGAAGTTGATTCTGGAATTGTTGGAATTTTGCATTCTACGGTTAGGGAGATATTTGCTAATTAACCGTTAACTAATTAACGAATTAGCTAATTAGATTTTAATTTATTAACTAGACCTTAATGAATTAGTTAATTAGGCTTTGATTAATTAGTGAGATAATTTTTTAAATTAAATTAATATTTATCGGTTAATTAGGTTATAGCTGTTAGAGTCAATGTGTTTACATCTGTTCGTAGAAAAAGAACTTTATAATACAATAACTCTTATAAAGAATTGACGTTAAATCAAAAATGCTCATGTACTGTATTCCACTGGTTTTACCCACTTTTATTTTATTTTTATTTATATAGAAACTGATGGTAAAGCAGGCATGGCTGTCATTCTTGATGATCCTTCTTTACCAATTGATATGACTAAATTAGTACAGGAATTGAAAAAAAATGGATTACCATCCTATGCTCGACCATGTTTTATTCGTCTTACTAAACATATTGAATTAACTGGTTAGTTAATATTTATTTCATTGTAATTTATGAAGTTTTCTGTTTTTTTCTAAAGGTACATTTAAAGTTAAAAAGACAGTATTTCAAGAAGAAGGTTTTGATCTGAAAGTTATTGATGAACCAATATTTTATTTAAATCCAAAAAAACAGATTTATCAAAAATTAACACCTGAAATATATGATCTGATATTAAAAGAGAAAATAAAATTTTGAACAAAACCCATACGAATCTCTTTTATTGAATCTGTTCGATTTATTTTCCGTCCTCTATATGATCTATTTTTATGTTTTTCGTTTTTTTACAGTACACTGAGTGATATTTTTCTTTAATTTTAATCTCACATCTGTTTTTACAGTATGTGGCCTTTTTTCATGACTAAACGATTAAACAAAATGAACACCATTTGACATTCAGTATTTTATATGTTCGTTTGAATTGATTGTGTATTTGTATCTTTTTTATTATCATTATTATTCTAGAATGTAATTTTTCGTGTTATTTTATGATTTCTTGTACGTTCGTTGTTGTTTATGGTTCGCTTCATGTTTTTCTTCACAATTTTTTTAGATGAACTTGCGTAGACAAGTTCATCTATGTTTTTGAAAAACAACACTTATATATTTTAGTTTGTTTTTCAAAGGACGAATAAATAATTTTATTAACAACTTCATTGTTTTTGTTTTCATATAATAAAATATCAATTTTAATCAAAAAGAAAAATAATAATGTGGAATGAGAAATATGAATAAATGTGTAATTAAAATAAATATTACAATAAATCGATGTTATTTAGTTCATTGATTATTAGCATATTAAAAAGTTGTGTATTTGTCAAGAAAGAATTGTCAATATTAAAATGACAACTTTATGATTACAAGTCTTGTTAAATACGAAATTTCATTCTGCTAGGTATCAATCGTACATAGAAAAAGTTTATCAATCTTAAGAAGAAACTCTTTAAATAGATAGCCTTTGTTTGAGTTTATATTTTGCTGATCTGTTAAGATCGATTGTGTAGATATAAGTCCTAGGACGATATGTACCACTAGAGATTTCTTCTTAAGTTATTATTATTATTGCAGAATACTTTAAGGATTGTTCGATGTATGTCCAGGTAAAATTTCAGATTAAAACTCTTTGATTCGGATTTCTTTATAATATTTTGCAAGATATAGAAAATTTGGTAAAATGATCATAACTCAAGAAGGAAACACTCATGCTGCATATCTCTTTAGGGCATTTGTCTGCATGATGCATCTTAACAACCAGTAAAATATGAGCTTGAACACAGATTATAAATAGGAGGCGTACCTCTCATTTGTTGAAACAAATACTATTGAATCAATGATGGTCTTATAAGGAGGTATGTTCAGATTTCCGAAAAAGGAAATTACAGAAATTTCCGAAGCTTCCATCAACTCGATAACTACATAGCAAAGCAAATGAAAATATTTTGGAAATATTGGAAATTTTAGAATTTTCTGTAATTTCGGAAATTTCGCTATGTATAGAATTTTGGAAATTTCAGAAATTTCGGAAATTATATAATTTTGAGAAGTATCACACAATTTAGAACACAAGTGTTTGAAATTTCCAAAACTTCCGAAATTTCCTTTTTCGGAAGTCTGAACACTGCTGAATTTTAGATATACACCTGTAAATAAAAAAAGCCAGAATTTCGAGATGAAATTATTTTTGTATATGGGTCGAATGACGCGTAGAATATTTTAAAAGTTTCAGCCGAAAAAAATGTTCTACTGCTGAGACATCGAGTTTCCAAAAAAATAATCGCTTATCACAGACATGATATAAAGCACGAGCTTATTATACATGGAAAAAACTTCCGATCGAAATTTTGTCATTTGATACAAAACGTAGAGTCGAAAATTCAATAAAACGAGCATAACTCTGTTTCAAATACTCATTGGGATGAATTTGGGGGAAATTCAATTACGCTAGGTAGAGGGTACTCGATTCGAAGTTTCATTAAAACTACCTTTATTTTGTTAGATGAAGGTTCTTAATTCAAATGATTTCGAATTTCATATAAATTTTATCGATAAGTGTTCAATTAAATTATGAAATTTATATTTTCTAGATTGTTTAAATTTATTTATTTAAAAAAAAACAATGAATTTTGAAAATTTATGTCAAATATGTCAAGAAAAATCAGCACCATATAAATGTCCAAAATGTCAAATGAAATATTGTAGTTTAACATGTTATCGTGATATATTACATCAAAAATGTTCAAAAAAATTCGATGAAAATGAACTAATCAATTCTATGAATATTGATGAAAATAATCATGAAAACCAGACAACAACAAATTCATTTGTACGAGAAAGAATTGAAGATATTTTAAAAAGAAAATTAGATGAAAAAGATTTTCATAATGAGGAAGATGATGAACAAATTGAAGAATTATTTGAACATTTATTACCAACAAAAGATTCAGAATATTATCGAGAGGTAAATTCGACAAACTAAATATTTTCACTTTTTTCCAAATTTCAATTTCTCTTGAATGTGTTTTTACAGTTTCGTGAGAAATTATAAGAGAAAGAAATTTTCGCAGTTCTAGATCCAGTTGTGACAGATATTGATACGAAGATGTTTTCTCTCAGACAAAATACTACAGTAAGTCGATGATTTTAGCATCATCTGCCTGATTTCAGCTAAATAAACGAACAAAGACTTCTTTTGTCGAATTTTCGGCCTGTGAAATGTTCAGCTAACCGATTAGTGTCTATTAGGATAGTCTCAGCCTTCTATCATTGAGTACAAAAAAAATACTAGACATTAGATTTCCACTAGAAATGCTTGTAAGTTATCATTACATAATTTGAAGCATTTGTGAAGCAGATTTCTAGTATTAGGACATTGATTTTTCGTACTTCTATAATTCTGAAACACTTCCGATGAATTTCAACTGACACGTTTCATTGATACTATGTTCATTATTATTTTATTTGTATAGGAAATGACTAATATTAATGATGATGATGAGGAAGAGGAAGACGATGGTGAAGATGAAGGTGAAGAACGTATTGGAAGTGATGAAGAACCTATGCCTGATTTACCAAATGATCTTGATGAATCCGATGAAAATGTAAATCAACTATGGAATTATTTAACAAAAGAAGAAAAACATGAATTTAAGTCAATGTTAAATGATGGACGCATGTCACATTTACTAAACGATTATAAACCATGGAAACCATGGTGGTTATATAAAACACAAGCACCTAGTCTTATTACAGATTTAGAAACTACAACATCTTCTCCCTCATCACCTACATTACCTGATACTATTCCAACAATAGCATCTAATATAGTTTCACTTCCATCACTGACTTCAATTCTTCCTCATATTCATGTTCGATTTGATCTTTTTGAAATTCTTTTTGCTTATGTTCTAATTAGTATTCGTTATCGTGGAGATTTTAATTCCTATATATATGAATCAGGTACTGAATTCTTACATATCGCTTCAAGACATTTTACACAAAAATCAGAAATATTTGATGAACAACATGATCCAATATCTATTCTTCATACACGTATATCATTAGTTCGTGAACATTTACAGGATAAAAATATATCTTATCGTATATCTGAAGAATTTTTTATTAATTTACTTGCTGATATTTTAACTATTATTCATGGTCCATATTCACGTCAAACACCATCAAATATTTATGTATTAGCTGCACTATCCGATCTTAAACGATTTCTAATAAACATTCAAGAATATAAACCATCAGTTGAATCAACAGTAAATGAAGAATTAAATCAAGAAATACCAACAGCCATAAATGTATTTCATACTAATCGAACAGTTAAACCAAAATTAACAGTACATAAACCGGTAAGTTTTCAGAAAAAAATATACAATAATGGCAAAAAGTTTCATGACATTGAAAAAACGTTTACCAAAATTTTTTCAATAGAGTTATTTCGAACTTGATACATATGTTGAGCATTCTTCTTACAAGAGAACTGTTTCAAGTGATGAATCATTTTCAAGTTCAGACTCTATGCCAACAAATCTAACGAGAGTCTTTCGACCGAAAGTTTAGTTAACAGATAGATCTACTGATGACTAGAACATTTTGGATGATATTTTCAGAACATTCTAGTCATCAGTAGATCTATTTGTGGGCTTGATTTCTGATCGAAATATCCGCACTCGGTTTGTTAGTACATATCTTACCATAGTCGAAAACTCCAGTCAAATGGCTACAAGTCTGGAAGAAAATTACGATTTATCACTCGAAACAATTTTCTCGTTAGTTATTCAACTTTCGTATACCATAAGATCAAGTAAATAGGACAACTTTTAATGAATGAATAATATTAAGTAAAAAGGGTGCAGCGGTAAAAAGTTCCGCGTCACTTTCGACTTCTTTTATTATATCTGTCTTTTTTCGAAAGTTAATGGATAGTTTTTTAATTTTGAAATAATAGAGTACACGTAGCTTTTCGAAAGATGCTTGTATGTAGAAACCTCACTTATTCATTTAAAACTAATTATGAACATCAACAAATAGATTCTCTTTTGAAACCATCTTGTAGATCTATCTCAGTTCTACAAAATAAAATGTTTTGTAGCTATGTGATATGCAAAATAAACGAATTATATGATGTCACGGAGAAGGCGTTAAAAATCTTAACATATTTAAGCTATTTTCACTTGATAATATGAATAGAAATAGTTTCTCTAATACAGAATTGAATAACTCACTCATTTTCTATATCACACGATCTCAAAAAGCGTCATTTTATAGAACTGAAGTAACTCTACCATATGGGTTCAAAAAAAGAGCTTATTTGATGCTATTCACGTTGAATTTTAAGAAAATACCTGTGATTTCTACATAAAAGAATCTTTTCAGAAAATGCGCATACTCTATGATTTCAAAACTAAAAGGATGTCAATTAAGAAAGAAGTGAAAAGTATCACTGAACTTTTTATCACCGTTGTAGATATCGATCAACTATAATAAAATTTTTCTTTGTAGAATAATAGTAAATTATGTTCGATTGTTTCAAAGACATCGAATCCAACGAAAACAAAAAAACCTGAAAAACTAAAAACATTCAATCGTAAAATGGTTCTTAATCTTTCACATAAAATTGATTATCTTCTAAGTTGGACAATAACACATTCAAACCGTCTTGTTATGCTTGAATATGAATTAGAACAAATTGAACATGATCTTCGTCATCAATTAACTCAATATCAACGTGATAAGAATCGTATTGAAAAAAATTTAAAACATATTCGTTTACAACAACAAACAACTAATAATTCGAATCGTATTCAAGAATTGTAAACTATGTATATTATTCTTTTTGTCTTTTCTTTTAATCAAATAAATAAAAGAAGATACAGGATGATGAATCCAAAGATAAAGAAGAAATAAAATGTATATAGTAGATATGAAAAATACAAAAAAAATGGCAAGGTTACATTTTTATCAGTAAAATGATAATAAAAGAGTTAGACGATCAAATAAAGTTGTTGCAATTATTTGACTAAAACTCATCATGGATAGAGACAATACCATAGATTCTAGTACATATAACACGGAACTCAATCGTCCTACTACAGCCCCACCACATCAATCAACCACAGTTATTAAATACATGGCACCACGTACTTTAGCTCTTAATCTTTCGAATAATTTTCAGGGATCATTACGTAGTTTTGCTCTTCCAAATGTTGACGCAAGTCTAGCGGCACCAACACTAACAACAGCTTATGGCCTTGTTTCACTCATTCAAACCCCACCATCATCAACTTTATCACCAATACATAATATCGATGGAGAACATATTATTCATGAACATCGTGAATTATCCAAAGTAAATGACAGATTAACAGATACTGTTTTACTTTATTGTTATTATGATGCACATAATCGTGCACAAGAATTACAAATTGAACTACTTCAAACAAATGCAAATAAAAATTCTTTAGTTATAGAAAAAATGTTTCAATCAGAAGTTGAAACAGGTCATCAATTAATAAATAATGCATCACGTTATAAATCAGATTTAAAAAAAAAATTAAATGATATTCATCAAGTAACTGTAGCTAATGATGAACATTATCAACAATTATTATCAAAACGTAATACAACAAATAAAGAAGTATTTGAATATCAACGTAAATTAGCACAAAATCGAGCTGAATCAGAATTTCTTCGTTGTCGTATACAACATTTTAATGATGAAATAAATTTTTATACATTAAAAAATAATATTTTACAATCACGACAAGTTAAATTACGTTATGAATTAGATGAAGAAATATTTGCTAAACAAGTTTTACAAATGGAGTTAGAAGTATTACAAAATGAGAAAATAACAAATGAAGATATATATTTGACAGCAATAAATGATATTCGACAATCAATTAATTTTAATCAAATAGCAGCAATTGAACCATCAAATAATTATCGTGAACAATTAGGTTATGAATTACGTCGTATGAAATCCGAATATGAAAAAAAACTTCAAACATATAGAGATGAATTACATCGAAAACTAGAACTTGAATATCATCGTTATCGAATGCATAAATCACTACCAATGCCAAGTCCATTGAAAGAACATGAAACAAATTTAGAACAATTTAAACGTGAAAAAAGAGATATTGAACAACAAGTTCGTATTGTACGTGAAAATATTTATCATTTACAAAGTCAAATAGAAACAATAGAAAAAAAAATTATTGAGGAACGAATAGATACAGAATCTATGTCAAAATCGCAAAGACATTTAAGAATGCTTCAACAAATTATTCGTGAAAGAGAAAAACAATTAGATGAAGCTATAGAAATTCGAACAACATTGAAGAAAAAAATTGAAAACTTTCAAGAAGAAAGTAATCGATATCCAAAACGACTAATAAATAATGCTTATGAAACAGAACAACCAACAATATCAGCAAGACAAAATATACAAAATACAAATAAACAACAAATACATTCATCATCAACTATTATTCAAGCAATTCCTCCTTCATTACGATCAAGAACTAATCAAACTGAACAAATATCATTAGAAGAAGGAACATTAATGCGATATAATGATTTTAATGTTGAACAAGGTTTCACTTAAAACTTGTTTTTTCTACATGAAAACTATATTTCTTTTTTCTATTTAGATTGTAAAGAATTAAATAAAAGCTTACAGAAACCGAATATAGATGAAATAGCTGTTATAAGAATACTTTGTAATCGAAGTGTTGCTCAACGTCTTCAAATTCGTGAAATATATAAGAAGCTTTTTGGTCAAGTAAGTTTTCTAAAATAAAAACGAAGGTTATTTTTAATTAATATTAAACTCTTCCAATCAGGGTAGCTCAAAGGCATGAGATAAATTGTTGTTTTTTTTTATTGAATTGAGTTGATCCTATCTTTGATACACCATGATTAAAACTCTTTGAACTAGCTGGAAATCATTTTCGATTAGATATGTAACAGTTCATACTTCATAATTAAGTTGTTGGTATTCTTTAAACAGGAACGCTCCGATATTGGTGAGCAAGACTAAACGCTAGAACTCCGCTGTAGCAAAAAAGAAAATCTTTCAAGATTGAGGAGCTATCTGTAAAGATAAATAAAATGAGAGATCTAGTGACAGACTAGCGGAGTAGCTAGCTGCTACCCTCGGCAATGATATTTATTTGGCTACTTCACATCTCCAGCATGTCTCTATTTCACATTCAACACAAGCTTATATATGATAGAGAAATAAAGAGAGAGAGAGAGACGACGCAGGAAAAACAATAGAAAGAAGAAGGGGAAAAAGGAAACAAGAAGATCAGCGAACCATGACGTATATATCGGCACACTATCTCCTTGAATCCCCCCACTCGAGACATCCCTTCTATAAATCGAGTCTATCCATGTCATTCACATAAAAACAGTGGATCGATAATATCAGTATAAGTAAGAAAGAATAAAATCATCGACATGTACTGGGTTTGGTGATATGGATTTTTCATAGATTTAACTCTGACTTCCAGTTCACTCAGAGTCGAAATTATGATAGTTACACAGTAAAGATTTTCCCCCATAGTAAATATTTCGTTCTTCATATGTTGTTAAATATGTACAACACATACTCAAGTCAGTATAGAAAATTAAGTAAAGCACTTAAGCGTGGAAAATACGACTAGAGGACATTTAGAAACCATTGTTATTTTTTTATGTGTTACTCTCAGATTATATTCAAGCATGTATTCATGAAGAATTATTGTGACTGACTCATCTATGAAATATTTAAATACCTAAAAGAAAATATATGTTGAATAATATTTCGATACATTAATAATACAATTTAGAATCTAAATGATGTTATTGAAACTGAAATAAATGGAAATTCAAAAAGAATCTTAAAAATACTTTTATTATCACCAATTGAATATGATTGTTTTGAATTACGACGAATATTAACTGGAACAAAAATTGATGAAACTACTCTTATTGAAATATTTCTTACTCGTTGTAATGAACAAATTAAAACAATAATTGATACTTATTCAAAGAGTAAATTAATCTTATTTATTAAACAAAATTCATGATTTGTTTTTTTTGTAATAAATTAAAGTATTTAAAAGTACACTTGAACATGATATAATCGGTAATGAAGAAACAGCTTCAAAACAAATTATTCTTGCATTACTTCAAGCTAATCGTCCAGAAGATGATAATATTGATGATGATGAAGTACTAGAAGATGCTCAAAATTTATATGAAACAAATGCAAAATGGCGAAGAGATGGTTCAACATTTATTCGACTTTTATGTAATCGAAGGTATTTTGTAAAAAAATTCATTTTATAAAATAAAAATTATTTCGTATATATTAGTAATGCAAATTTAAAACAAATCTTTGATGCTTATCAACAATTTAGTAAAATAGATATTGAACAAGCAATTCAAATTGATAAAAATCCTGAACTTAGTCGTACATTGATGGCTATTGGTAAGTGAAAAGATTTTTATCTTGAAATAACCGAACTTTCTTTTCTAATAGTTCGAATTGTAAGAAATCGACCACGCTTTTTTGCATTCGAATTAAAAAAAAGTCTAAAAGTAAAAAAGAAATCATTTATTTTTTTAACTTTTATTAATTAAATTCGAAATATTTTTATATTTAGAGTTCTGGATGTAATGAACAGAATTTAACGCGTATAATTGTTTCACGATGTGAAATTGATATGGTACAAATAAAATTGGAATTTGAAAAAATATCTAAACGTACACTTTTTGATCAAATACATGTTTGTTTAATTAAATAATTTATTTAAAAAAGAAAACAAAAACTTAATTTTTTATTTTAGACAGATACAAATGGATATTATAAACGAGCACTTTTAGAGTTATTACGTCAACGTATTGAACCAATCAATAATAATTCAGTATTTAAACAGTTACTTGAATCAACAATAGCACAAAAAAAACCCCGACCAATTGTGCAATGGAAACAGCCAATTAGTAAAAACACATTTAGAAGAAGTGTGAGTAACCGAGATATTTATAATTCGAGTCAATTCGATCGAAATAATCAAGCAAAAAGTAATACACTCTTAACATTTAACACCGAACCATTAGACTTACAATATACTGGACTACTTCCAGTTAGTAAACGTTCATATTCAAACTCAAATGAAGATGAATAAAAACTTTTCGTATAATCTTGTTTCTTTTTTATTTTTCATACTACTGATGAATAAAGCAGAGGGGTCGATAATTGATGGATTCGGTCTGCTCGAGCAACTCGGTTTCTTCTATATCATCAGACTAGTTTTCATATTGTTTGATGAATTTTTTCAATTTTTACAAAATAGTGTAAGAGTATGGAAAGAAAAAACACTGCTCTCTAAGAAAAATTCGAAAGATACTATTTTGAAGACATGATTTTATGTCTTTTTGACAAATACTTGATCGGTTTCTGTTAGAAAAAGTGTGGTTTCAGTGAAAATAACATGATATTTTGAATCAATATTCAAAATTGAGTCGATCTATGTGGGTTCCAAATATTTTTTGTCATAAAATTCACTCCTGGTTCCCTTCAAGGATGAGTCAAAAAAATAAATTTCATCAAAATACATACTTTATTGTTTAATCGTCTACATTTTGGCATAATGAGGACAAATTCTATCTAGTATAATTTTAAATGCTAATACATAGAATTTGTTTTCATGTTTGATATTGACTCAAATCTCAACAGTACACACATTTTTTCATACATTATCTGCAAGTTTCAGTTCCACTATCATTTTACAACCTTAAAATTTGATCCCGACGGTCGAAATAAGTCTTTTTGATGAGAAAAAAAGTTCATAAAATTACTTGAAGCTTATATGGATCCACTCAGCTTTGAATGATGATTCAGAATATCATATTACTTTTACTTCCCTCACATACTTTTGACTGAAACCCACAAATTACTAGTGAAAAAACTATGAAATCATGTCTCAAAAAAAAAGAAATTCTGTGAATTTTTCTTAGAAATCAGTATTTTTCCCTTGATACTTTCATATCATTTCGTAGCATTTGGGAAGCTCTATCAACCCATGTGAAAACCAGCGTGATCAATCATCAAATTGATAGATTAAAAAAAGCTGATTATTATCAACAGTCGGATTCAGTGTATATGCGACAGTCCCTTACTATTTTAACCCGTATAGGCACAACACAGTTAAGTATTATACACCGAATTTCACCAGAAATCACTTTCGAACATTTTGTATGAGAGTTTGTCGTAGAAAAAACCTACTATCTAATGGGAGTCGATTCGATTGCATCAGTTATCGATTTTCTCCTTATTAATATACTTGAAACTATCCTATCAAATTTGATGTCAATCTATTAAATCGAACACACCTGCTGTTTCAATGTCATATATTGACAAAAAAGAAACAGTATGCTTGACTGCACACTCTCATTTTTTTCCTTTCTTTCATGATACTTTCAAAAGAAAAAAAAATCAATGGTGATATTCATCAATATTTCTTTCATTCGCTCAGTCGTGTCATTGCATACAGCAATATAAATATTTATATACAAAGATTATCTTGTCAAAAAATATTGCTCAAGTAAATAAATACAAAGAAAAAGCAATAAAGAAATCCTATCGGAATGTTCGATTCCATTAAAGGGTTGTTTTCATTTATTTTTATTATTCTGGCAACCATTTTTCTCGGACCTCTTTTCAGCACATCTTATTATTATTTAATTAATGCTGACGCTACCTCTACAAGTGTAATATCATGTAGTTTAATTGTTACTGTTAGTGTAGGATTAGTAGATTCAATTATATATGGTATTAGTTTATATTTATCAATTCAAACAGCTAATGAATTTCATAATCAACGAATATTTTCTAATAAAGAAATGATTCATCATCGTAAACATTTTCACTCAATAATAACACAAGAAAAACATTTATTACAACCGATTACTCATGCTATTGATATATTAATTGAAAATCAAATGAATTTACATGATATGATAAAAGATTTAATTACAGATAATCAAAATCATACAGATCAAATACTGATACAAAATACTTTAAACAAATTTGAAATGTTAGAATTCATTGAAAAAACTGGTTTAATGACAATAAAAAAGAACATTAATGAAAGTCTTCGATTATTAAACTTCAACTTACCAAATAATAAAAATAATCTACAATCACATGAAACTTATTTTAACGATTTAACATTATTAAATTCTTATCTATTCAATCGCATTTATTTATTTATTTTTACATTTTCTTCTCTTTTATATATTTACCAGAATTTACTATGGTTTTTTCAATATTTAACTTTGAAAAATCCTGAAAAATATTCTTCATATTCATATATTCTTTCTATTATTATGATAAGTCAATCATTAGGATTAATTTATTTTATTGAAATAACAAAAACATTTAGTTATCTTTCACCCTTATATATTTATGCATGTATTCTTTTGATTCGAAGTTGTATAACTAGTTATCGATATTCTCTTTCTGTTTATTAATCTTGAATACACTTGTACATATTCATAAATAAAAAGATGATATGTAATGGTAAACTTTAGACTTTTGCTATTCTGTTGGAGTTTGGTACATTGAATGGATCTGTCAAGCTAAATGGTTGGCTATTTGATAATCACCTTTTTACTGAGATATTTCAATAGGTGTTGTGTGATCAGCAGCAGCCGACTGCTGGTATATCAGTGGTAGTACGAACAAACATGCAACAGAGGGTTCTACGAGTTGAAAGTAAGATAAATATTATCTTATCCTTTAGTAAAATTTTTGTATCATATCAAGCAACGAGAATACGAAAACGGAAGGACTTCACTAGAGAGTACGATAGAGAACATACATGATCTATAGAAATTTTTCCGCAACAGTCTTTCCTAACAAGGCTCTAAGAATAATTCGAGTTGAACCTTTTGTTCAAAATTGTATCCTTTTCAAAATGACGTTTGGAGCTTGAAGATACAATCATTTCTGACAGAAAATGAATACTTCACATTGATTGTGTCTAGCGGTGGTCGTGACTAATGTACAAAATGTTTTTTCGCTGACAATTGTTTTATGTTCACGCCTTAAATAGTATTTTGAAGAGAAAAAAATTGTGAACAACAGGCATAACTCAAGCAATTTTTCTAGTCTTGTCATTGAAAGCTGTTGTGAGAAACTTTTATTTCTTTTTGGTCATGACTGTAACCACTATGCAGATCTCTATTAAAGATACTAGAAAAGAAAACGTATTAGGGACATGGAGTTTTAGTTTACTGATTAACCCTTTCAGACCCATGACTCAGCCACTGGATGAAATTTCTTTGAGATTCGATATTTAATATGGGCAGCGTGTATGATGGATATTTTCATCCAAACTTTTTAAAAATCTTTCAAGTCATTTTCGACCCATACCCGTACCCCCTACGGGGATGGCAATAAGTATTTTGAGCATCTCTGTGGGGGAGTACGGGCATGGGTAAGGGTTATGAATCATATATAGATATATGTGCCGAAGTCTCTTCTATGTCATAGAGAAAACCGCTTCTCGATATCTTTTTGTATTCGCGAGTTATTCAAAGATCACGAAACTTGAAAAATCCGTACTATATTTCGTACGGTGAGCTTGACAGGGTTAGTTATGTCATAGATTCAGTCTAGCTATTGCACACTGGTATCACTGTTCACTGAAGCAATAGAACACATCACAACAAGAAGAGTATATTTTGATAGAGCCGATGTCCTATTGTTGCGGCGAACATAGATATCATTGTAGTCAATGCTTCATTGAATACTGATACAAGTGTAAGTAATGTCCCAATGGCTGTGTACCGATGACTCATTGGTCAATGATTACGCCAACATTGCACATCCTTAGAACGTAAATTGCATTCATGCATGACAGCAGAATACAAGACAATATATATAGAACACATATAGATATATGATGACATTACAGTAATGATAAAAAGATGAGATAATGTATAAGTGATGACACCATTTAATATAATATACAAACCTTTTTGAAAGAAAAAGAAAGCTATTGAATGAAAATTATTTAATATGACACGGTTTGATCCCTTCTCAGTAAAATTTTTCAGAAAAATTTCTTTTCCTACTCTAAATATTTTTTATTTGTGTCATATTTTTAAATTTTGTGAATCGATTTTCTTTCAATGTTACATAATTATTTTATTCATTTTCTCTTTCTTAGACATTTTTAAAAATCTTATCAATCTTTTACATATTCACATAACAACATATCATTTTCGTACTTGTTAATCACTGCTCCTAGTTGCTACTTATTTTCATCATTATTTAAATAAACGATGTGATACACGTCTGATACGATTTTCTGCTATACTTTATATGATTTTTCATTCGCTACATTTGGTAGGGCAAAGAGACACAGTACTAATGATGTGATTGTCAAAATACGAGAAAAATAGAAAGCCCAAATTATTTCGAGAAAATAACATTGTAAAAAAGAGAGTTCGTGAAGTGAATCACGAGGTATAGGATAGATAAAACAGTTAGAAATTCAGTTTGAGAAGTCCAAGAACTAAGAAAATCATTTAACTAATGCTTCTCTGTCATGATAATTTTTCTCCATTCGTTTTTACCATCTAAGCTTATAACTGATCCTGCACGGTAACCTCCAAAATCCTGAAGATGCCAACTCAGTCGGTTTTCTGCATTGTCTTTCTCATTACAATCCGCCGAGTTACAGTTTATAGTTGTTGATGATGGAGCAAATCCAAATGATTTATTCTGCGTTAAGTACCAATGTACATTGCCAAACTTTGTTGGTTGATTTAATGGACTATCCAAGGATAAGATTTCTGATGGTCCCATTGCTGCTATCTTCAATATCATTGATGAATTTCCTTGTATTGCACCAACAATAATGTGTTTCTTACATTGCGATCTTAATGCTCTTAGCTCTTCGACTGTTGTTCCATGACTATATGGGAAATCATAAATAATATTCCATGAAGGATTCAACGATGACAACGGTACATCATGAACAACACTTGATGGCAAGCCTCTTAAGAAATGTACATCGATAGTAGCCTCAAGTTTCTGTACACTTTGTTGTAAATTGTCAACTAATTTTTCTAATGATTCGATTTTCTTATTACTTCGATTCAACATATTCATTAGACAATCTAATTGTTCATGTTTTTCTTTCTGTTTATAAACTAGCTTACATCGTTGACATTCGATTTTGATTTCACCACAATTTTGTTCATGTTGGTCTAAATCTTTTTTTAATATATTCTTCTGACAACCACGACATATCTTCATTTGATATTGACATTGTTCTTGTTGATGTTTTTCAAGTGATTCATATAATAACATATCATTACACCCGTTTTGTTTGTTTTCACATTCAATTTTAAATTTACATAATAAAGCATAAAACATTGGTGAACAACGTTTTTCTTGATAATGTTGACATAATGGACAAACATTTGGTTTTTCTTTCAGACATTTATCAATACATATCTTACAAAATAGTCGTTGACAATTTTGGCATTCAACGGGTTTCCATAACAAATGAAAACAAATTTGGCAGAGATACTCATCATCAATGTCGCTATTATTTGTAATACGTTCTTTTGAAATACTCATTAATAATTTATATTAAACGTAAGCTGAAACAAAAAATCGTAAAATAAATTCGAAATTTAATAGAACAAAAAGTCATCACTAATTTTTATAAATATACAAAAATTATTCATTAAAAAGTGGTTTGATAAATTCATATTTATTTAAAAGCATTTTTCATTATTATAAATTTTGTGCTAGAAAATATCTTAGACGTTTCGACGCAAGCAACCTGAACAATAAGAATAGTTCACAATACAAATATTAATCTTTGATACTGTTTAGAAGGTCTACATCAAATAATCACGGTCGTCAACGACTGGTTTTCAGTGTATTGTAAACGATCGAATAATCGATTTTCAGACTGTTGGTTAACTATATACGGCACGATAAAATATGGTCATAATACTGCAACTACCATACGTCAATGTAGAGCTATTTACGGCTGCAAAATCTATGAAACGACAGTATATATTAGTGTTTTGGGTGCCTCAGCGCCTGTAATTATCGTCCTAGGGATGCATCAATACCAATTCTTAGACTTGGTCGAAATCGAAATCGGTTAATATTGACAGTTGTAGAATTACTAAGTTTACATATATTTACATCAATTAATAATTTGATTCCAATTTTTTCAAAACCAATACCAACGAATTTTGATTAATGCTAAGTCAAAAATCTGGATTGAAATCGGTGCATCCCAACATCATCCAGAGAAAATATCGAGTTCACCCATCGACAACACTCAAGATAATAGTTCATTTGTATTTACTTCCATCAAGTGAAATTTTGTATACCAACGAACTACGAATTGTTTGTTACGGAAAAACTGCTATAATACTTCACACTTACTTTAGTTGACGAAGAAGTAAAATAAAATGTTATTCGTTCTATGTTAAATAGAAACACGCCCATAAGGCTTATCTCTATATCTTTCTTATCGTCTTTACGATGTAAAATTACAGGAAAAAACCTTCTTGTTCGTCAAGTCAATTATTTACCAATGAAACAGAAAAGTGAAAGATAACAATTTTATATTTTCTTTTTTTCTTCAAAAGAATATTTTACTTTTTCTGATCCTTATTTCTGATGCTTATGCTAATTCTTATTATTAACAAATGATTATTTTATCATTGTAAAAGATCGTTGTATTTTAACACTCAATAAATATTGTTGAACATTGACAGTTATTTAAATCAAAACTTAATAATCATTCATGTCGTATATTTTCGAAAATGATAGTATCCGACAAGGTAAAGTCTTAATTAACCGAAAAAGAAAACTTACAACCATGATTCAAAAATATTTTGTTGAAAAAAAGAAAAATCAAAAATTATAAAATAATATTAACACATAAATTAATAGAACTGTCTTTTTTAGAAGAAAAAAAATCCTAGAGAAAAGTTCAATTACAAATGAAAACACACATATACACATTTATTTTATGAACATAAATTCATTTTTATATAGCAAGACAAACCGGAAGCATATAAGGAGAAAATACAAAATTGTCATACATACATATACAAAGACAAATAGATTATTAGAAATAAGTAATCATAGTAGAATGAATAGAAAAAGTAGAATAAATGGCAGGCAAAAAATTTAGGAAAAAAGATTTGTATTTAAAAAAATACTGACTGAGTGGAAAGAAAATTTAGATTAAAAAAGATGTCAAATGTTTTTTGTATGATTATTTAAATTGCACATAATATATAGAAAGATTATTGAAATTTTAATTTGTTCGATCGATCATAGATATACCTATATATCTCTTGATTAAAGATCACCAAATGGATTATTCACCTGTTGTTGATTAACCATAGTAGTGCCATAGAGTGGTTGAGCAGCAAATGGATTTGTATTAAGATTGGTTGGTTGATTACTTATACCATTGAAATCCATTGACTAAAATAATATATTATTTTAAATGTTTCGATGATACGGTTTAAACATACTAATGATCCACTAGATACAACAAAAGGATTATTTATCGAAGATGTAGGTGATGGTTGTTGCCACACCGAATCTGATTGAGCATTCATCTAAACAAGAAAAGTTTCTGTAAATTCTTTTTTTTATTAAGTGAAGTCACTTACACTACTAAACGGTAAACTCATTGTTGAAGAATTTGGCCATATTGTTCCAGGTGTATTTGTAGTTCCTGCTGGTAGACCAATTATTTGTTGATTTTTTGCATCATTTGCTGTCCATTGATGATCTTTTCTATTAGAAAAAAATGTTCAATTGATCGAAATAGTATTGGAAATCAGTAGAAAAACTTTTTTACCCAATTTTCGAGTAATCTTTTATATTAAGATGGTCAACTAATTGATTGAGCGATGAATTAAGATCACCTGATTGAAGTGGTTTAGTAATTGTTGGTGTCTTTTGATCATTGATCAATGGTGGCATTGAATTAGGATTTTTATTTGTTGATACCGAAGTTGGCTGAAGAACATTACCAAACACATTTGCTGAATAATAATATTGAAGACAAAACGTTAGTATTTAAAAATAAATAAAATTTATTTACGTTTCGATGACGATGTATCAAGAACATTTTGAAATGCAGGAAATGTATTTGTACTTGTTTGAGATGATGGTGTGGCTAATGAAAATATATCATCCGTAAATAATTGTTGTTGTTGTTGTTGTTGTTGCTGTTGTTGTTGAGAAAAGAAATCTGTACTACCGAAGAGATTTTCATTTGTTGTTATTATTGTTGAAGTGGGAACTGATGGTGGCGATGAAGCTTCTTTTTTCTAAAAATATCATAAACAGTTGTTGATTATTCATATTTTTCTTTTTGTTTAATGAAAACTAAAAGTATAAGTTGAATTGTTATGATTCGAATTTGCTGATCATGAATAATTCATAAGAGAAATTCAACGAGTAATGAAACGATCTATAAAGGATGTTAGACCAAAAAACGCTTTTTTGACTTCCGCTCGATTTTGGGCCAATTCCTTACCCTTCTAATGGATACGCACTTCAAAAAAAAAAGCCTGTCAGCGTAACCATTTCGAGGCTAAAATTTTGAACTCATATGTGTTCTTTAGTCTTGTGATACTAATACAAAATGCGTATAATAAAAAATTTCTAGTAGATTATAGTTGCTTTCCAATGATACTTGACCTATCTTATTTATTGCTGCATTTCGAACAGTTTCTTTTCTACTGATGCTCGATATTTTATTTGCCAAAGTTATAACTTGATTAGTTCAAGCTTTTTATGTTGCTCAGATAAAGACTATGGCAAACAGATGCATCAGTATCCATCTTTTTTAACATCTCAAATGGAAATTTCTATCTGCGCAAAAATAAAAATTGCACTATTTAGAGCACACTACAGTCATTAGAATATAAAGAAAGTCTTTAGATTGTTCTAGAACAGCTGAAGCATTATGATTAATGCTTTTCAGCATTGTTTCCTCTGCTAGGACCTGAGGGGGGAGAGCGTAAAAATCTTGATTTAAACTTACACTTACTATTCTTTTCGAAAATAATTTTATGTAAGTTCTACAAAAGTCTTTACGAAATGCTTAAAAAAGCAAAAATTCTCCGACCGTTCGCAGATATTTAATCCATCCCTTCACTGTGCATGACCGTGAACTTTTGCATAGACAGGCAGACGTACGGTTTTTATTTGCTCGGAACTGACCATAAATCATTTAGAAAATCTTTTTAAGACGTGAAAGCTCTTTTCGAAATAGAATTTTTTTACGACATAGATTTCCAAAAGATGCGCGCTGAGCGAGAGATGACGATTTGCCCAACAAAATGGACCTAATCAACCTCACCACATCCACACTCAAATAATTAAATTTTACAAAGGAATATTGTTGTATATGTCTGCCTGGCTTTGTACCTTTTTCTAGACGTCTTTTACGAATAATTTCAATGTTCCATAAATTTTTGGATAATCTTACTACCATCAAAATGTGCGATATTTTATTGTTCATTTATCTTCAAAAAAGACGAGCTGCCGAAAATTCAATCGTTTAACTCATCGTAATTTACGAAAACTTCAAATCGAATATCAATAGTGACTTTATGACTATTTTCAATCCAAACAAATAATGCTAACTTTCGCTAAAAGAAATAAACTATACATACTATATTCAATTTTGCTAGAGCTTTCGTTTCTTCTTGAAGAACTGATTGTGGATCATCACTAACATTAGCAACAAAACCACGAGAAAAGCTTTTTGTATCTTGTTCTGTTGAATTTCTGTACAAAAAAAAAACAAACTAACGATATGATATACAAATTGTTTAGTTTTACTTTGAGACTAACGTTTGTAGTGATGGTTTTTTGCCTTCTAGGTAAGCTAAATGATTTTCCAATGATTCTAAAAGACTAGTTGAAGCCTAGAATTAAGAACAAGTAACTCATATCAGTTATTACATCCATCAAAAATCATAGATTACAATCACAAGAAAACAAATTTTCTATAATCGTTTTTTACTCACTTTATTTTTCTCGATTCCCTAGATATATAGATTTGGATAAATAATACTATTTCATTTCATTCATAATAACTTACCCGCGCTAAATCAGTCATGTCACCACGATCTCCAGCAGATGACTAGAATATAAAATAAATTTTAAATCATCAAGATTAACCTGCGTGTATATAAACTCTTTACACAACATGTTTGATCAATTGTCATTCACTTATAAAGCACCGAAGAGAATCAGAACTCCGTGCTCTTTCTAGCTATATAAGTTCAAAGTAAAAAGTTCTGAAACGCAATATTTTTCCTTAATGGTTACAGCTAAAACAATAATTCAAGGAGTTAAAATGCCTTCCTTCTCAGAAGAAGTACTTATCAAATTTCTATGAACAGGGTACGTGTGACTGATCTCTGAAGAAATGAAACATCCACAACCAGTTTTCTAGATTCTACCAAACAACTTCATCTAATTGAGACAACATTTCTCAACAAAGAGAATGTCGCCGAGTTCTCCACATCGTATCTTCAGTCAATAACAATTATTGTACTATAGATGAAAACGATTTTTTTCTATTGTTTTAAATTGTGGGACCTTTTGCAGAAGTCATGCAGTCGGCTGAACATAAGTCAAAGAGAGCTTGGAGACAATTCTTTTTATTCATAAATTTTTTCTTTATCAGATGAACATTTTTGATCCAATTGAGAAAACTGGTTTTGAAAGTCTTGATTTTCCAAAGAATTTTCATCCAAACCTGTTAATGGGACTGTGATAAGTATCTCTTCTGATACGAAAATTTTTAAACTACTCAAATCATTTCTTTGATTTGTTTTGGCTGTTATCATTGCAGACAATCCCCCTCTTTTTGGCATTTCTAGTTCTTGAAGAGACTACAACCGATCTGCATGAAATTTTTTGGGACAGATAGAACACCTAAAATAAGGAGGCATGCCTTTCGAGGAAAAAATTTTAAACAAAGTTCTTCGAAGATTCCTGGTTTTTGCATAGAAACACATCAAACGTGCTTACGACTTTCCCATCTAACTTTATTCGACCAGGTTGAAAATCTTTTTTAAAGACATCTTAAACTATATCTGAGAAGTGATTTTAAGCTATTTCGAAAATCTCGCTTTCTATTTGTTTTTATGAAAGAAATATGTAAAAATTCGGATTCAAAACTGGGATGATATAAATCCTGATTGAAAAGTCAAAAATGGAAATGAAAGATTTCATCTCTGGAAAATACTTCTAAGTATCAGTGATCAAAATTTTAGCTCGTTCGAACAAAGTTAGAAGAGGTCTTATGGAATACCAAAGTTTCTCAAAACAACCATGCTAAATTTTGTTTTTTCTTGGCCACATGTTTTCTTATTCTAGGACATTTGATAGAGGAAAAAACTATTATCTCCCACAAAGACTTACTACTTGGAAAATGTTTGCCTGTTTGGAGTTCTCACTCACTTTAATCTAAGATTTGGTAGAAAATCGAACACTACAGAACTAGAAAATTAAAATACTAGCTGTTAATTTTTGATTTTGTTCTACGAACAAAAATTGATCAGACATATTGTGCAAAAATATTTTATACGAAGGTTAATTATGATTAAAGCTTAAAATAGATCGATCATTATATTCCATAATCAATAAAAAACAAATTTGATAAGCAATAATTAATATTACCCCTTCCCAAAAACGTCGATCAAATAATTGTTCATAACGCTAATATAGTATAATTTCTTTTTCTTATATTTATTTCGTCATAAAATAGAATTGAACTTACTTCACTTATTTTAAGATATTGAGATACTTGATCTGTTCGATCGAGAAACTTTTTATACATGTCAAGTGCTTCACGACATTGTTTTTTATTCATATTAAAAGATTTTTCTAAACAAACGAACAATAAAACAAGTTTTAAATCTGAAAATGAACTACAAAAATTCATACCAAGTAAATTAATTATTCCTTCATTATAAGCAGCATATAGATAAATAAGATCTTTGGTAAGAAGAAAAAAACAATTATGTATAACACTATTTGTCAACTGATTAGGTGTGATCTAAAATATCAAGAAAGGAACATTTCATTTGTTGAATTATGAAAAACATTTATTTTGATATATTAGTCCCAAAGAAATGTAGTCAATAATCTCACATGACATAGTTGAATCGTTTATTCCTTACTGAAGTAACCATTTGTAAATTGATTACAGAAATTAAACGGTACATAGATTCTCAAAGCACCAAGAATATTTTTTGCAGTAAACGCCATGAGGTAACAATTGATAACTCATTCAATTGCTTCATGTTCGAAATATCGAATTTACAAAATCGAAAATTTTGAAAAAACAATTGAAGTTTTCCGGACCAAATATTTTCTACGTTTTATGAAGCCTAAGTCTTGAAGTTTGTTGCGTAATATATGTTGATGAAGAGGCCTACTAGTGATTAATGTAAGTTTCGAACGTTTCGCGATAGTTTGCCGAATCACAGATAATAAGGCGCACAATGGATCGTGTTATTACTGTTGGACAGATAAAAGGCAATCAAGAATAGCGGTAATGTATGTATGCTAAATCTCATCATTTAGAAAATTCAAATAATATTTCGTATGGATGAAAATGTTTTCAATGATTATAGCAATGTGATATTCGTTCAAAATGTTTTTGAGCATTTTTTCCTCATGACTGAGTAGAGCTCGTCCAGTTACGTGTAAACAATGTTGTTTTCAACATATTCGAGCAATCAGTTTGTAGTGAAACTTCGAAAAATTGAGTCTAAAAAAATCAGAACAACCTATAAAAATTGCAATGTGTCAAAAGTACCAAATCTTTGTAGCCAATCTTTTTGATGATTTTACTCGTCATATAATTACACAAAAAATTCTTTGATTATTCAGGAAATCGATTCTTTCTATATGATTGCAAAACGTCATGAGTATAGATTTATATCTAGAAGTTTTCACTATCAAAACTTCAGTTTCAAATGAAACAAATATCTTAGAGACAACCACATATCAGAGTGTTAGAAAGTAATACTGTGGGAATGTAAGACCCGAAATTTGACAAAAAATAGTTTTAAGTTTTGAGTATGCATTCGAAATACATTTTCTGGTGATTCGCAATACAAAAAGTTTGTTTCATTTCAAACTGAAGCTCTTCTTTGTCAAACTCTCTAAATACAAATCCATATTTATGGCATTTTGCTTTTATATCGGATAAATCGACTTTCTCAAGAATCAAAACAATTGTTCCCAACTGTACGACGAGTAAATCAAAAATGAAATTTGGCTACCAAAATTTGATGCTTCTGATGTAGTTTAATTTTTATAAGCATTTCTGTTTTTCTGTTAATCTAATTTTCTTAAGTTTCATTACCAAAACCATCTATTGAATATGTAAAAAACAACATTTTTAGACATAATTATTCAACCAAGATAGAAAAACGTCCGAAAAAATATCTAATAATATATGTCAAAAACTTATGTACTGTTTCAAAACTGCATTTAATGCATTCAAACCTTTCTTTCTTTATTGCTTCGATACTATGGGATATAAGATTTTTTCGCTCGTTCATTATTGTCATAAAAGAAAAAAAAAACCTCGAACATATCATGTCGTTCAATCTATATTTTTTATCGTATGGATTACGAAAGTAATCAAAATCATCCTACACCAAAAGCAGGACATCTCATGAATCTGATCACTTCATCGGCATATTAAAGTAGCTAATATTCTTTATATAGAAGGTTATTTTATTAGCATCTGATTTCAAAGCACTATAAGAAGTGAATCTTTAACGATTGGAATATAAACAACATGAAATCTTTTCTTCTAATTATCAAATTTAAGATAAAACAAGGGAAAAGATACTGGACAAACAATGTCTCATTATATATTTGCTTATGTTTTAATTGAAGCTCGATAGATCTAGAAAAATTGGAACAGACTTTTTTTTGAATTTCTTGGAATTGGAATCGTTAAACCATCAGATAGGTACAAAACTTTTTGAAGTACTAAAATATGTGTCGTGTTTAATCTCAACAATTCAATAATGAAAATTTTTCACTAGACATTTAAGATTTTCTGATCTATCTGATGATCTAACAGTTTTGGTTTCGTTTAATGTTTTGATAATCGAACAGAAACAGACAAACTCTAGTTCTTATTCAACTCTCAATAGACTTACATCAAAATGAAGTATAGCATCAATTTGTTTTTGAAGCAAAGGTAAAGTTTTAAATAACTAAAAAAAATTAGAAAAAAAAAACAAATACAGTTTTTTTTAAATAATATAACCATTACTTCGTACCTTATCAATAGGCATTGTTCGCAAAAGTTCATCATCTTTTCTTTAATAGAAAAGAAAATACATACGTTCTTTTTTCTTTCTTTTTACATTTAAGATAAAATCTATTACGAACCCTCGTTTTATTTTACAAAAATCATAACCCATTAATTTATAAGCTTCACGTTTTTCATTTAAATAATCAGCATATCGACCAATATATATTAACATATCAGTGCCAGGCATTCCCATGCGATCAATCATAACAGCTGGTTGTAAATGATAATTATGTGATGCCATATAAGCTTCAAAACGCTAAAAAAATTCGATAGAGGAAAAAAATTCTTTTTTCTTAGTAAAATAATATTTAATAAAATTTATTGTTACTTCATTTCCATATGACATTAATTGATGAATTGTAATTAATGATTTAAATGAAACAACCCATGAAGAATTTTGTGAACGTTCAATTAAAAGATCAGCAGTTTCAGGAATCGAAACATTCATGTCATGTGTTGCTTGTAAAAGAACTTTACAAAAAGAAAAACTCATTTTTATTTTAATACACATAGATTTCAACTTACATTCGAGATGTTTTCGTTTAGGTCCTATGATTTCTTCTGTTGTTGCTTTACATACAACTTTAGCTACAAGTTGTCCAGATATAGTATTTTTTGCAGCTAAAAGTCGATCGACAATACTTTGTCCACCTAGTTGCATAGTTGTAATGTTTTTCTCAAGAATAAACAAATGAAATGTATCTTCTTCATCATCATCATCATTTATTATTTAACTGGTAAAAAAAAGAATAATTCCTTTTAAGGTATTTTGTTTGCTTTTAACAAATGGCGACATATATTACATGTATATGATTGGTTTTAGACAAAAAAATAGAATAAAATCTGGATTATGAAATTCAAATAAAATATTTCATTGTACATTTAGTTAATTAAATTCATTGTAAATCGATTAATTGTTTACTATGAATGTGTATTCAAATGTAGACTTTTCCTTCCTCCTACCCCCTAAAAAGTTTGTCGGTGCGGTCCCATTCAGAGTCAAAACGTGGGTTTAAAAATAATTTATTTTAAAAACATGCCAAACAAATGAATAAATCAAAATGACAACACTTTTTCTAGTTCATATGCGCGCGTTCTGAAATTTTATCATTTCGAAAATGTTTGCATTTTGAATTACTATTTTACCAATTGATTTGATTGATCTAACATCACTATGCTGTAAAAACTTGTTTGTAGTATGGATTACATCTTCAAAACATAATTACTTTTCGACTTATGATAGTATATATAACACATGGTATAGGACGCAGTAAATATTATTTTACTCTTGGTTTTATCGGTTTAACTAGTATATTCACTTGCTATACACATTGATTTAATCGTTAAGTAAGCTAACATGCCTTCCATGCTTTCTCTTGACAAACTTAAACATATATTGTTCAGTTTTGCCTAAACTTTGTATTCAATTAGCTTATATTTTTCTATGCCGGTCCTATTCTAGCTCTGATAGATCAGTAATACTCTTATCCCATTGATTGACACCTATGATCAGAATCTTTCGTTGCATCAAGTCCCAAATCCTACAATACTTAGAATAATGATAATCTACAGGCTTAGAATGATCTAAGAACTATCATTATTTACGTGCCTTTTTGTATTGTTAGAGCCACGAATTCAATAATTTTTTTATTTTCTTCTCTCTCCTGGTTACTAGAACATACGGAGGATAGGGAGTACAGGTGCAAAAATCTCGATTTACACTTCCATTCACTATTGTTTCCTTCAAAAATGTACGTGAGTCCCACAAAAATACGTTAACTTTTGTCAGAAAAATCAAGCTTAGAATAAATGTATGAAAATATAGCTAGAAATCCGATCTTTCAGAAACCTTAGGATTTTTTTATCTTGCATCTTTTCAGAATTATTGAACATGGCTGTCGTCACCTGCTTTAGATCCTCCTTCAAAATAGGATTATACAGAAGATATGTAGAACTAGTTATTTTCGAGGCCATTTTTTCAGATGTTCTTTCTCTTTTAGTCTTGGGATACGAATAAAGTTAAACAATTTTCAATAGAACTCAGACATTTCATGGAAATAACCAACTTTTGATAGAAGAATAGCGCGTTTCCTTTTCTAAGTTGTATTTCTGGTAAAAATTTTCTTGAACATTAATTTAGTTCAATCAGACTTTCATACATTGTAGGAATTCTGCACAGAAGCGCAATGCAAAATTCTCTATGTCATGCTAAGATATTTGTACTTTTCTAACAATAACACCTTAACAGTTCAGATTCTAGCATAGGATAGACACAGCATATAATATATATACTACTAATATCAGTCTTTTCTATTAATGAAATGCGTAAGAAAATAACATTGATTACGCGGGTCAAAACTTAACGAACATTCTATGTGACGTAGGTAGCAAAAGTTTAAGACATTTTCTAGTTTTTTGTTCTTTTATGAGCGGAAAGAGGGTAGGACATATCCTTTGGGTGTTATGTGTAGCCTCAACTAAAGTCTATACAAAGCATGAATTCTTTATCCAATTGTTTGCCCAATGAGAAAGCAAGAGCAACTACGATTTATTCCTAGTCAGCAACAATTCAAAACATTTTTAGTATTTTGTTGATGTTATCATTGTTCAACGTCGAACAAAATCTTCAAAAATATACCATTTGATGCAGAATTAGATGGGCTACATTTTGGTACCATTTATTTTTCTGAATTTGCAGTTTTAATCATTTAACAATTTTAATCAATTAATTAATTAAGGCAAACCTTCTCGTAATTTTTGACTTTCAAAAATATCGTTAGAAAGAGCTTCGAAAACTGAGGAAAATTGCGTTTTATTGTGCCACAATAACGAGTGATAATAGAATTCTTGGAAAGATTTTGTATGATTTCATTGATATTCTATTAATAATTAAGAAAATTAACATGTAAACCGGAATTTCAGAAGTCTAAAAAACGATGCATTTTGTAGAACAGAATTTTTTGTATTGATGGATATCTTCCGACTGCCTCTGCGATATGTGTTTCATAGGAACTAACGCTTTGAGAATGTAAGTATACTCTGTTCTTATATCCGCACCCACCTCCTGAGTATGAATGATTCGAAATAGGGAGTTATTTTTCAAACATTGGTAGTTATTTTAATTCTTTTACATGTTACTAGTGAAAAATTGTACAATGATGATCGACAAATCGCGAACATAAATCGGACTCATAGTAATTGGCATTGATGCCGTTAATATTTACTGCACAAATTAATTGAAAATACGCACATAGGCAACAATTGAATGATGACACACAGGACAAATTGATAGGCCATGAGCACAACTAACACAAGTAAGGTAATGACTACAAGGCACAAAGACGATCGAACGTTGGTTACTTCCACATGCTACGCACAATGTCGAACAAGAAGCAATAAGTTGTGGAGAGCATGTATTACATTTCGATTGTACTTCAGTATTCCGATGAAATTGATTTGTTTTGTATGAATTGTTGTCACTATCGACTACTGGGATCTTCAATTCCATTGACTCATAGAAATACTTTTCAAAATTTCGATGCAGGACAAATTTTCAATTGCACACTTTTCGTATCAGTACAAGATGATATGGAAATTCGCCCAGGTAACCTCTATATATATAATATATATATACTTATATATCATACAGATTTGATTTATAATACCAGCTGATAACACTGACGTGTGCGGTACCCCTTACCCTTTACCAATACATGAGAGAACCATTATCGTTTTCATCACATGTGCTGCAAACCTTTTGTCTATGCTTTTGTAAGATAAATCAATTTTTCTTATTTGCTACTTTATACTTTGTAGTGTGCTTTTATTTTGAAGTTGTGCACGTGAAGGAGACAATCAAATAAGACGGCTTTTAGACTATTCCCACCAAAACATCATTGAATGCTCTAAATGGCAGAAGATTTCTGCTGATTCTTTTTCACATGCGAACAACACCTCCGAATATCTTTGAAAAGACAAGATCTTTGGACACAAACGTTCAGTCAAATGAAGTCAAAAAGAAAGAAAATTTAGTCAGTTGAGTAATTGAGACATATAACATATAAAACTCAAGCATTTTGAAATTCTAATATGTGAAAAATAAAATCAGAAAAAAATATCCTGCTACCTGAAAAATATTCAATGATGCTTTTGAAGGCGTGGTCTAAATACTTTCTTATTCGACTGTCTCGATTGATATTGCTATAAAGAGAGAACAAGTGACCAATAGTTCAGTATGGAATATATTGAGGGTGAAACAAGAAGTGAAAGCATGATATCGCGTACATCTTAGTGCCGAGAATTTCAGATTTTCGTGCCGTAGAAAGGAAGTGTATCTTGAAAAATATTTATTCTCTGCATATTAAAAAAACACTTTTTGTTGAATTTTTAACGTTATCTGGTCATTTGCTTTCTTCTATAACTTTGAAAAAAAACGATGTTAAAGTAGAAAATCGTTTCCAGGGTAATAATGCACATTGAAACTGTAACTGACAACTTTACGAAACAGATTAATATGTTCAATCATTGATTGCAACTCAACTAAATTCACTCGAACCTCTCGACCTCAATATTTTTTGTCGTCATAAACATTTTCCAACATGATTTATCTCACACTCTGTCACTATTGCGTCTTTTCTTGCTTGCACTGGGATTTAATAGCTTTTTTTGTCTTTTACGTTCTTATGTGGCAGTATCTGATAAAAAAAGAAAAGAAAAAGATGTGCTATCCTGCTGTTATTCGACGTGACTTTTTCTCATCAATCGATCGACAATAGTGATGCCTTTCAGATATCAATCATGCAAACAATCGTAACAGAAACTCGGCTTTCATGCATGTTTCAACATTTTTGTTCTAAAACTCGTCGTTTATGGCTGACAGCATCAGACACGATTCTTTGTTGTTCGAAAGGTGCACAACTCACATCGTTCTCTAGTACGTTCTACTTTCATTACTCATATGATCGATCAACATAATTCATTTTATCATTGGAGCCATTTCCGGATGACGTAGAATTGCGTCATTTAGAACTATTTTGTTTTGATATTTGTATTTAGAGAATTTTCCTCTTGCTTAGCTCTCGTGATTCATCAGAACATGGAGATAGTGACTATTCTTTATAACACATCTTAAACCATCGACATCAATTGCTTTTCTGCTTAACATAAAACACTATTAGAGATGTGAAATGTAGCGATTATAATTAAAGACCACCATAAACATTTACAGTACAGCTTGGTAATAACTATCTGCTATTGTGGTCGAGAAAAAAGTGAATTAAGCTGTTAAATTTTGCCAAAATCTCATATAAAAAGTGTAAAATATTGAGAAATCATATTTTTTCTAAAGAACCAAGTAATAGAAGCTGTCTATATATTCAGAATATGTTTTATCTCGCAGTCCCCTTACAATCATAAAATGCACTGATACATTCTATCTCTCTCTTTCAGAGTTTGCTGTGACGAAGCATCGTAAGCCATCAAACTTGAGAAATGTGAGTGAAAACGAAGATTTTTTACCGATCGACCAAGATCGAAAATCGACTAGAGACCGTAGTCAAACATTCGCCGGCTATTCTTATGAGCATCAGGCAAACCGAACAGCACCAACAGGTATTTGCATCATCTTAGTAACTTGTTTCTATTTACAATTATTCTTTCAGG